GGCACCGGTTGGAAAGCCTTGAAGGGTATTTTTGTAAGCTCAGCAGAATTTCCAACTTTTTCAGTTCTTGAGGTTTGCTTGAATGAACATTTTGCCTGAACTTCGCAATAGGGCAAGCCTTAACTTACCAAGGTAAGTTGAGTGATGACGAGGGCGAAAAGCAGATGTTCCATGATGGAATTCCGATGGAATGATGCACAGTCAACCATCACAGCTTTTATACCACCACACCCTCCATCCGAATGCCTTGCTCAATTGTCAGCTGGCTTTCTGTGTATTTACAACATTAGGCTTCAACGACTTTTGCAATTGGAATTCGTCATATTATTTTCTACGGCTGCTCTTTTTGTAGCTGCCTGTCCACCAGCTTTATATCGATTGTGTCACATGCAAAACATGGGTTCAAAACTTGGGGCTCCTCACTCGAGCTCAAGTTTCCATACAAATCTTTTCAAATCACAGGGCTTGACCGACAGATCCCACAGCTCCCTGCGGTGCGCTCAATTACTTTTGAAGGAAGTGGATCCAAATAAGTGAGGATACTTAGTAGTCCCTCTGAGAATTCCATGGAGACAAAGATCGCAGGGGACAGCGGGACCATTCGACTCGGCGCTATAATTCGAAAAGATTTGTGTGGAAAGTTGAGCTCGAGTAAGGAGCCCCAAGTTTCTGAACCATCTTTTGCATCTGACACAATCGATATAAAGCTGGTGGATAGGCAGCTACAAAAAGAGCAGCCGTAGAAAATAATATGACGAATTCCAATTGCAAAAGTCGTTGAAGCCTAATGTTGTAAATACACAGAAAAAGCAGCTGACAATTGAGCAAGGCATTCGGATGGAGGGTGTGATGGTATAAAAGCTGTGATGGTTGACTGTGCATCATTCCATCGGAATTCCATCATGGAACATCTGCTTTTCGCCCTCGTCATCACTCAACTTACCTTGGTAAGTTAAGGCTTGCCCTATTGCGAAGCTCAGGCTAAATGTTCATTCAAGCAAACCTCAAGAACTGAAAAAGTTGGAAATTCTGCTGAGCTAACGAAAATACCCTTCAAGGCTTTTCAACCGGTGCCAGAACCTGCCGTCACTGGGAAAGGAAGCAATCTGGCGTACGTGGAACTGATCACCAATATTCCACACGACCCAAACGAATTCAGTGATATGCAAGAGTACATGGACTACTTCTCACAAATGAAGGGTCACGGCGAGGGCTCCCGAGTTTCCCCGCATTTCAATCTTTTGCTATCTCAAAATCCACTTCAGATCGAAGAGTACTCTCAATCGATTGGAGACTACTATTCTGGGGTACCATTTAGGCTTCTAGGCAATCTCACCTACAGTTTTTATCTCAGAAACAGTGACTGTGACAAGGTAACTTTTCGCAAGCATCTTTCTATGTGGCTTTTTTGAATCCAATAGGCTTAAGAAGGTGCACATATAACAACACGGTAGCCAACGTTAAGGTAGCGCTGTGGTTGCATCAAATTGTGGACGGTTCGCAAGTCTTCACAGCCGCTCCAATGGCATGCCCCTTCGTGTTGCCGGATCCGCTGGCGACACCACCACCTGCAGTAGTCGTATCAACGCCACCACCAGCCCCGAAAAAGGTAATCTCGGGCAGCTGGATGAAGAAACATCCACCTGAAAGAATTCACTTCTTCAGGAGTGTATCGCAGACGTCGTAGACGGGGAAACTCATGAAGCTGTGATTTCGATTGTGTCCACTCTGAAATGGGATCCATCGCAGAACAGCATCCTGCAGCAACTTTATGAACGAACGGTGAGTCAGGATGCAGGAATACAACAGAACGGAAAGATCCTATTGTTCTTCCAGCTATCCAGAGCACAATCAGCTTTTTCAGCTTGCGCCACAGCTCAGTCCGCTCGGGTGCTTGGTAGGCGGGAAAGTGGAGAACAGGACAGGGTATTTTGCACTTCAGTATGTCGTCGTCAACACCAAGTGTAACGAGGTATTGAGGGGAAGATTAAACCTGCAGTTCGGAATCCCGTGGTAAGCCTTTCCAGAGCTGCACAAGAATACGCAGAATTTCAGGTGACAAGTGCCCAGCAAGCAATTCAATCGGAAACGTGCTGCGTCAAAGAAGTAGATGTACTCTGCATGTGATCAATCTTTCACACTGCTCAGAGATTTTCTTCAGAAGAATAAATTTTGCGAGAGAATTTCAGATTTTCTGGGGATGAGGAAATTGCTAGTTTTGTAGTCTTCGTTTTCGGATACATATTTCTGTCTTCAGTGGTGATGTGTTGGAATCTCCACAGAAGCAACACTTGTCTTGCAGCTCCCTCTGCGCAGCTTTGAGACATTGAACCTCTTCAGAGCCAAGGAAGGTCACACCTTCAAGTTAGCTGTTGCTGAAAGGTTACGTAGTGATTTCTCATTAACTGACGCAAGATATCGCAGAACGGTAACTCTGGAATTGATTCTTCTAATGAGTGCATTTGAATGCTAGATGTCATGATGAATTAGTCGCTCGC